ACAAATCGAAATGTGTATCGAACATATCTGAATACACCAGCACATGATAACAATCCAGACAATTGATACAAAATACAATGTAACACGAAATGCGTGTCAAACACATCCGCATAACAAAACAATGCACCTGTAAAATATATCAATCCATACAAGTAACACATAATACAAGATAATACGGAATGTGTATGACATATCCGTATAACAAAACAGAGTACCTGCACAAAACATAATTTATGCAAGCAATATAGAATTATGAAATAATAAAGAAAATGTAACAGACACATTCGTATAGCAAAACAGAGTATCTACATAATATACAATTCATGCAAGTAATATGAAATACAAGATTACATGAAATGTGTATCGGACACAAATGTATAATAACAGAGTACATACACAAAATGCAATTCATGCAAGTAATATTGAATAAAATCTCAAAGAAATGAGAATGCGTCATGTGTATCAAACGCAAGTGTGCACCACAAATTAGTGGCACAAGCATGTTTTTCGATCACATAATCAAGCGGTAATTACATGATCGAAAATAATCTCAAAGTACCTTGCACAAGTTGACAAATGTGTTAGAAATAACAAGGAAGTGTTATCGAAAGTAAACATTATTATCACAATTCAAAACAAGGCTAAATCATAATAAAATGGGAATCAAATGCACATTGGAAGTGCAAGAGTGAAATTCGGGAAGCCACACGGTTAAAACAGGAATTGAGCCGAAAATGCAACGGAAGCTAGAAAACTTGATCATAATTATTCACAAACAAATATTAAAGCATAAACATGCATCAACCGAAAGCAAAAACTCAAAGTTTTAGTTATTTCTATTAGAAAATTAGGCGCAAAAATCACCAGAAAAAAATCGCACAAAAATTACGCGGTTGCCTTCAAACTATTAACAGACTCAAAAAAGTGTGTATCGTGAATTAATTCCAAGCGCAATTGCTACTTTCAACACAGGGCAGCCTTATACATTTTTGTGTGTTTCTCCCCAAAATTAAATTCAAACATGAGAAAAAGGAAAATGAAAGTGCTCAATAGATCAAGTATTTACACTTATAAATCATGCCTAAGTAGTAGGTGAAAGAAATGCAAAAGTTACTTTGATACCCAACAAAAATCAACAATCTTGTGTTGATGTAATTATCACCAAATTAAACTTTTATGTGTTGAAAAGAGTTGAATTATCCAACAATTATAAATCTCATGAATCCCCCATTATGCCAAATCAACTCATGGATACAATTAAACTAAGGATATCTATCCTACTCCTCACCTAATTTCCGTTAATTAACCAATCAACAACAATTCAACTCAAGGAAAAAGTCACAAAATCATGTATCACAACATTATAAATTAATCAATTTAAACACAAAATAAATTAATCAACAAAATGCTTAATTCAAGGATTCAAGAGAATTTACCAGAAAATCAAAGATGAAATTCGAAATCAAAAATCACACAGAGGGAGGTGATCCCGATTGCGATCAAAATCGGACGAGGGAGGCGCGTTTTGCACGCGGTCTTCGATAGAGGGAGTCCGACCAGGTTTACAGCGAGCGGCGGCGACAAGGATCATTTGGTGGCGGCACAGAGGTTGGTGGTTGGTCGGCCTTTGGATCAGTTGGAGGAGAAAGAGGGAAGAGGTTTGAGATTTTTGACTTTTTTCTCTTGAAGTTGTTGTTGTTCTTGAGCAAAGTTGACAATAAATGAACTTTGATTCTTGAGAGAATAGAGAGAAAATGTTTTTGTGTTTGTGTAGAAAGTGAGATAATGAGCTTGTTATGTGAAAATTCTGATTTTTTTTAAATAATATTCTCCCTCAAAAATAGGCCCTGGGCTTGAGATTGGGCCTTAAATTGACAGTATCATCTAAAAACACGACGAGAAAATACTAATTCAAGTCAGGTGAGAAATTTTGTCTCAAGCTCAACACAAAAATCAAAAATAGAAAAATTTGTGACGTGTGGCCGAAAGAATGGGATTAATGGATAAAGGACGAATGGGTTATGTATTTTTGAAGTTTCGTAGATGCTGAGACAATTAAACGCATGCAAAATTTTCTGCGTGCGACACACGATGCAAGCAATAAACCGAGGCTATCCAAGTAAAATCAAAACTCGGGACCTAAAGTAAACTTGAAGTTAACAAAATCAAGGACGCTCATCCGTGAGAACCGCACTGATTTGATAAAAATTGAGAGAGTTGTGATTTTTTGAACATGCGTAAACCGACGAAACAAAAGTTTATTTTGCTGTAATATTCCTCAAGTGATTCGAACTTTCGGAGGTCGTCCTCAAACAATTGGCTTTCGGCTTCCACACAAGAATTGAAAAAGACATCGAGAAGGAGTTTTCGGTAAACGAACCACTCGAAAATGATATTACATTCTTGAGATATGAATTTTTTAACATCCAAAAATCAATGCTCAGCCAGATTTTTCACCGAATAAATCACAAGGAACTTGCATTTTCGAGGCCTTCTGCGTAGAATCAACTCTTGGTCCAAACACAAAAAAATATAGGAAGTCGATACGGAAATAATTTCGAAATAGACACTAAAAAATATCCAACCGGACGACAATTATGAACTTTTGAATGCACCGCGAGCCGATGAACTAGAAATTACATTGTATCAAAACACAGGGAATTTGCGAATCGAAGACATTCCTTCGAGAATTAGGCTTCGACCCCAACATATGACTTAGAAAAAATACTGATACGGTTCCAACACCTGAAGAACCAACCCGAACCAACCTTCTGACAAGAAGTTGTAAATTTTGAATCGAACCGTGAAATACCAATTTCTGGCCCAAAATCATCCCGAACTAACTCAAACGCCTTGTTTCCTCTTCACTTAAAGACACTTTGGCATACATACAAACTTGAAAAGGCGAGTACTTATACTACTCACTGATAACAACCTTGAAAACGATATGAGTGCCTCAATTGACGAAATAAACGTCCATCATAACCCGACAAAGCTTAAGAGAAATACCTCGATCTCGTAACCACAAAACCAATGATATTCATGCATGCAGATGATAATGGAACTATAAGCCAAATAAGGTTAAAACGAAGAGGGTAAATTTTAGGGTACAACAACTAGCTGAAACAACTGGCTGATAATAATCAGAAATCAATGAAGTCGCCATCAAACGTCTTTTATCCCACGGAGGGGAAAGGTGAACATCGAGTAAACCCGAAGGGAGAAATCAAGGTCTTGCAACCATAGAGATCAGGTAAGGGAGTCGGTTACATGAGGGAAAGATATTAGCACCCCTCACGTCCATAGTACTCTATGATATCCACTCTTGTTATTCTAATCTAAAGGGTGTGTAAAGTCTAAGTCTAAGGCTTAAAACTAAAAGGAATGCATGCAAAGAAAAATACGGGGAAAAGAAGGAAGTTTTTACAAAGTTGTGCTCGCTTAGGTCCCACGACATAATGCATACATATCCCTTTTAAGGAATCATAGTGTCATAGTTCAGATCACATGTTTTCGTTTTTTTTTGTGTTTTTTATTTGAACAATGTTAAGTTTCGCATTCTACCTGCGACTCGACCTTTGGAGAATCACGCAACTGTAGCAGAAAGGAACTAACATGCTCTACCTGAGAAGGTATATTTCAAAAGAAAAGTGTCGGAAGGCAAACAATGCTATATTAGCAACTTCGAGCAAGTAGACATGGTGCAACCCGACCTTTGGGGAATTATGCGTCGTATTTCTGAAAGCGGAATTAACACATCCTTTTTAAGAGTCGATGAAAGTCCCGAAGGCTAAAAGATATTTGAATTTTTTTAGTGTTTTAAAACTTGAAAAAGGATTTGCAATTTGAACCGTAATAAAGTCCAAAGTGAAATAAAGTGAGTGTCAATCTAAACTGAGTCGCTCTACCCTACAAGACTCAACTGCATACGATTCTCATCTTCCATTATTAAGTGTTTTATGATTTTAAAGAAAAAAAAGGTTTTAGTTCTAATACAAGCATGAAAAAGGGGAAGAAAAAGTCTAAGGGAGACTAGCCTAGTTATAATTCTAATGTTATCATACAATGATGGTCCTAATTCTAAGGATGAAAGGGAAATCGTAACTTTGTTAGAATACCAAAGAAACTAAGGGTGAGAATAATTATCATATAGGGAAAATATAATGATCAAAATAGTTATTTCAATTCTAATTGAGTGACATCATTGATCGGAAACAAAGGAAAATGATAAAATCCTAAGGGGAGCATGCAAAGAACAAAGTCGTTATCTGAATTCTAATTGAGTGACATTATCGATCGTCAACAAAGAAAAAAGATAAAATACTAAGGGGAGCATGCAAATATCAAAGTAGTTATCTCAATTCTAATTGAGAAACATCTTTGATTGTCAACCAATGAAAGCAAACACAAACACAAATATCAACCAAGTGTGGATATCCTTCTAAAGGATTTTTAAACAGTGACTACGAGTGAACGCTCTTTATTATCCTACTTCTCATGATATCTAGAAAGCGGTAAAACATGCATCTCTATCCTTACTTCTCATGGCGATGAAAAGACATAAATATTGCGAGATAAAATGGCACGAGGGTATACCAAATGGATATCAATCCGTAAGCTAAGAAAATAGAAAAAGGAACCCAGAATATTTCACGAGCAGTTGCCATCAATAACAAAATAATACGTGATCCCGCATTTGGAATATGCCTCAAATTATCAATGCGTTAATAAACCACAAATCAGAATGTGTATTGAACACATCCAAATATCAATCAGTACACCTACACAAGATAACAATCCAGACAAGAGATACAAAATACATTGTAACACGGAATGCGTGTTGGACACATGTGCATAACAAAATAGTGTACCTACATAAGATATCAATCCATACAAGTAACACATAATACAAGGTAATGCGGAATGTGTCAGACATATCTATACAACAACTACGTACATGCTTACGATAACAATCCATACAGAATACAATACGGAATGTATCAGACATTTCCGTGTAACCAAACAGAGTACCTGCACAAAACACAATTCACGCAAGTAATATAGAATAATGAAATAATATGGAATATGTACCAGACACATCCGTATAGAAAAACGGAGTACCTGCATAAAATACAATTCATGCAAGTAATATGAAATACAAGATTACACAAAATGTGTATCAGACACATCCGTATAGTAATAGAGTACCTACACAAAGTACAATTCATGCAATTAATATAAAATACAATCTCAAAGAAATGATAATACGTCATGCGTATCAAATTCCAGTGTGCACCACAAATTAGTGGCACAAGCATATTTTTCGATCACATAATCAAGCGGTAATTACATGATCGAAAACTATCTCAAAGTACCTTGCACAAGTTAAGAAATGTGTTAGAAATAACAAGGAAGTGCTATCGGAAGCAAACATTATTGTCATAATTCAAAATAAGGCTAAATCATGAGAAAAGGGGAATCAAAAGCACATTGTAAGTGCAAGAGTAAAATTCGAGCAGTCACATGGTTAAAACATGAATCGAACTGAAAAATGAAACGGAAGCGAGAAAACATGATCACAATTATTCACAAACGAATATTAAAGCATAAACATGCATCAAGTGAAAGCAAAAACTAAAAGTTCGAGTTATTTATGGCTAAAAAGCATTATATTCGAAAATTAGGTCCGAAAATCATGGAAATGAAATCGCACAAAAATTACGTGGTTGCCTCCAAACGTATCAACAACCTCAAAAAAGTGTGTAGTGAATTAATTCCAAGCACAAGCACTACTTTCAACACCGGGTAGCCTTGTACATTTTTTTTTGCGTTTCTCCCGAAATTAAACTCAAGCATGAGAAAAAGGAAAATGAAAGTGCTCAATAGACAAGTATCAAAACATATAAATCATGCACAAGTGGTAGGCGAAAGAAATGTAAAACTTACTTTGAAACCGAACAAAAATCAAAAATTATGTATTGATGTGATTATCACTAAATTGAAGTTTTATGTGTTGAAAATAGTTGAATTATCCAACAATTGGTGCCAACCAACATCAAATCATAATGTTTCACTAAATTCTAATCAAACAAGAATGTGCACCAAAAAAATTCTAACAAGAAAATGCACTAAAACTACACCAAAATCAAGTTTAAAGACTCCCAAAATTAAGCTAAAACTCTAATGGTAAACACCACCTCCAAGTTCTCAATAATTGTGCAATCTTTAATTCCAAGAAACAACAGCTATGCATTAATTTCAACAAGGTTCTAACTTATTTTATACTTAGGTATCAACACATAAACAAATGCAACCATTAGAATACAATTCTAAAACAAAATCTTCTCTTAGGCATTTTAGCAAACACCTAAACTACACTAATTGTGCACCTCAAGAATTGAACAATTCTACATCTTATGAATATCCCATTATGCCAAATCAACTCATGGACACAATTAAACTAAGGATATCAATCCTATTCCTCACCTAATTTCCATTAATTAACCAATCAACAACAATTCAACTCAAGGAAAAAGTCACAAAATCAAGTATTACAACATTATCAATTAATCAATTTAAACACAAAATCCGTTAATCAACAAAATGCTTAATTCAAGGATTCAAGAGAATTTACCTGAAAATCGAAGATGAAATTCGAAATCAGAAATCACATGGATGGAGGCGATCGCTATCCCAATCGAAATCAGAGGAGGAAGTCATGTTTCGCGCGCGGTCTTCGACAGAGAGAGTCTGACCAGATTTTTAGCAAGCGGAGGTAGCAATGGGGGCGCACGGTGGTGGCACGACGGTCGTTGGCTGGCCGGTATTCGGATCGGTTGGAGGAGAAAGAGGGAAGAGGTTTGAGATATTTGAATTTTTTCTCTTGAAGTTCTTAATGAAATTGTTGTTGTTCTTGAGCCAAGTTGAAGAAAAATGAACTTTGATTCTTGAGAGAATAGAGAGAAAAGGTTTTTGTATTTGTGTAGAAAGTGAGATAATGAGCTTGTTATGTGAAAATTCTGATTTTTTTAAATATATTCTCCCTCAAAAATGGGCATTGGGATTGAGATTGAGCCTTAATTTGACAGTGCCAGCTTAAAAAGCGAGGTGAAAATACCAATTCGAGTTTGGTGTAAAATCTCGGATCGAGCTCAACACAAAAATCAAAGGTCGCAAAAATTTTAACGCGTGGCTGAAAGAACGAGTTCAAATGGATAAACGACGAAGGAGTTATAAATTTTCGATGTTTCGCTGACGCTGAGAAAATATAATGCGTGCAGAATTTTCTGTGTGCGACACATGATGCGAGCAATAAACCGAGGCCATCAGAGTAAATCTGAACTCGGACCCTAAAGAAAACTTGAAGTTAACAAAATCACGGACTCTTAGACACAAGAACCATACCGATACGATAAAAATTAACGGAGTTATGATTTTTTGAACGTGTGAGAACCAACGAAATGAAAGTTTATTTTGCTGTAAAATTCCTCAAGTAGTTCGAACTTTTGGAGGTTGTCCTCAAAAAATTAGCTTTTGGCTTCAACACGAGAATTGAAGAAGACATCGAAACAGATTTTTCGATTGAAGAACTACTCAAAATTGTTATTCCAGTCTCAAGATATGAATTTTTTTAACGTCTGGAAATCAACGCTTAGCCAGGTTTTTTACCAAATAAATCGTAGGAACTTGCGTTTCAGAGGCCTCCTACGTAGAATCAGCCCTTGGTCTAAACATGAAAAATGTCTAGGAAGTAGATACATAATTGTTATCGAAAGAGCCACTAAAAAATACCCAACCGGGCGATAGGTATGAATTTTTGAATGCACCGCGAACCGACGAACCAGAAATTACATTGTATCCAAAAAACACAGGGAATTTGTGAATCAGAGACTTTCCTTCAAGAATTGGGCTTCGACCCCAACATATGACTTGGAAAAATTACCGAGATGGTTCCAACTCCTGAATACCCAACCCGAACGAATCTTCTAACCAGAAGTTATAAATTTTGAATCGAACCCCGAAATACCGATCTTTGGCCCGAAATTTTCATTAACTGACTGAAACGCCTGGTTTCCTCTGCACTTCAAGACACTTTGGGATACATACGAATTTGAAAAGGTGATTACTTAGAATAATCACTGATAACAACCTGGAAAAAGATCTGAGCGCCTCAATTGACGAAAGAAACGTCTGTCATAACCCAGTGATGCTTAAGAGAAATACCTTGATCCCGTAACCACAGAACCAATGATATGAATGCATGCATATGATAATGGAACTATAAGACAAATAAGGTTAAAATGAAGAGGGTAAATTTTGTGGTACAAAAGCTGTCTCTATTCAATCATCTTGGACCTAAAGCGAGATTGGCTCCAGCCTTTCGAGCGATAAGGTAGAAGGTGATTAAATGCAAATATGAACTCAAAAATTTGCATTATGAATTAAGGGGGTGTATCAACACTGGGTATTGTTTTTTTTTTTGTAGCTTTATGGTACCGAAATGAGAGAAATAGATTTGCAAATGGAGAAGAATAATAAACACTAAACCCAACCAGAAATGACTTGTGACCACTAGACATGGAAGATAAGGTCAATGACCATTGAACTCGATTTAAGAAGACTAGTAAACACTAGACTCGAGAAGATACCAATGAACATTGGATCAAAAAGAAGAATACCAATATCAAATGGTCTCAACCAAACTGGAATAATGCCTTCTGAACCAAAATCATTAGAACGTTTGACCAAACGCTGGGGGTCGAGTGAAGGTAACAAGTGACCGCTCGACCTTAAGAGTACGACAGAAAATGTGCTAGGAAAGAACTGGATTACAAACAAAGAAAAGAGTAACCACTCATCTTAAAAAGGACTAGTAACCACTAGACCCAAGAGTACTCCTTAAGATACCAATGAACATTATATCCAGGAACAAGGCAAATACCTGATAATCTCAAATCGGGGATAATTAATAACCACTAACACTGACCAAGGAATTAAAGAGACAGAAGACAAGTAACCACTTGACTCCTGAGCACCTATTAACCCCTAGACTCTAACGAATACCAGAACACTGCATTCTAAATCAGGTGACAAGTATCATACTTGACCTTGATAGGAATTGATGACCACCAGACCTATAAATGTTGCGCCAGGGAAGAACTGGATAACCAACAGGGAAAACGAGTGAACACTCGATCTAAGAAGACTAGTAACGATTAGGTTCTCGTGAAGGTATAGTAACCACTAGACCAAAAATACTAGTAACCACTAGATTTAAGAAATGTTGCGCTAGAGTCAAACTGGATCGCAACGAAGTAAGCGAGTAACCACTCGACCTAAGAGGAAATAGTAACCACTAGCCTTTGGGGAATATCAATAAACTGTGTCAATTCACTAAGGATAAAGGAAACAACACCGACTCATACTCCAATATGCATTTGGGTTTTCTTTAAAGATACCAAAGACCATTGGGACCGAGATAGGTGACAAGTAACCACTTGATTTTGAGGAGGACTAATGACCATCAAACCAAAAACAATACGCTAAGAAAGAACTGGATTGCAACAAAGCAAAGAATGAACACTCTACGGAGGAGAAATAGCAATGTGGGATAAGGAAAATAAAGAACAAGAGTAAACACTCGCCAGATGAGGACTAGAGATGCCTAAACCTAGGAAAGAAGTGTCAGAAAAAAGCTGGACTCGAATGGTATGCCAATAATGATTGGACACTAACCACGAGGACCTACACGGGGGCAGGAACATCCCTTATGCGATAAGCAAGAAGGGGACTGATTTACACGTGGGTGTCTGCAAGATAAAGGACTACATTATCCTTCAGGCCAAAGGCGGGGTGTAGTTTTTCAATAGTGCCAATTAAATGAACCACCAAACACCAAGTAAGGCTTTTCACACAATTATAAAGAAAGAAATGTTGTACACCAACTTTTTATTGCACTATAACTTCAATAAGAAAATGCGGGTAATAATTGAGAAAACAGGATATATATGAAAGTGTGTGGCGATCCGTCGAGGACATCATGGTATATTTGTTGGGTTTAAGAAATAACCGGGTATATATCAGAAAAATCACTGAAGAACAAGGTGACACGATTGGCTTACAATTCAATGCATGTGATAGTCTGAGAGAAATCTCGAAAAATGTTGGTCATATCAAGGATGCAAACCATTGTACCGGACCATCATCGTGCATTTCACTTGGGAGCAGAATAAATTGGATTAGGGAGACTGCACTGGGGAGTACCTCTTACCAGGGAAAGCTTCTTGAACAGTGTCCAAGTGAAGATAACTAAAGAGCAAACTCCTCCAAGGAGAAACAAGTTCTTACATACTTCACTGGGGAGAGAGATCTGCTCCAAACACCTTAACATGCAAGCTTCTGCTGAACAATAGTCCTGACTACATTGGGGACAAAATATTTGTTTTATGAAACAAGTCGTTCTATCACGAACTTCACACTGGTAATAACATCAAAATCCTTGTGCTTTCTTGCTAGTATGTTACTTTGCGATGAGTCAACGATTGTTCCTGCAAAATAGTAATAAAAAAATGTTCCAGGAGTAGGATGACAACTTTTTTTACCAACCAGGTCACACAAGCTTTGAATAATTCTTTGACTCATGTAGAGATTCATCGAATCTCGACATAATTGCTTCAGATTGATTGACTTTTGAAAAGATTCGCCTCGAGAGGACTCCCTGAGATTTGTGCTAAGGATGAAAATCCTAACTTCAGTTGGAGATAAAGATCATTAACTTCTGATGAAGGAACAACAATACATGGACTTAAATCTATGACGAGCTGAGGATAACGATCTTGACTTCTTGACATGCTCTTCAAATTCACAAGTTGTTTAGCTTGCGACTGAACTTAACTTGATCAACTCTTGAAGAGGAGTAATTCTCCTGCATAATACTTTGCCCCTAGTCTGTAGAGCCTTTGAAGGAACTTGCCTCGAAAGAGCTTCTTGAGATATGTACACTAAAGGTAAACTACCCCCGTGTTACAAACTTTGGAACACTACTCCTGAATAACCAAAGTTAAATGTGGTTTCAACCACGCTTGAGCGAGTGCCCCTGATTACTTAGCACTTTGAGAGATTCTTAGAATCTTGACATAACTGCTATAGATTGGCGGTACTTTGTAGAGATTTCTCGAAGTACCT